AGTGTTTATAAATAAATGCCCGCCACGTGTCAGGCGCAACTCTAGGCACTGGGGGGACCGCACTGGGTGAACAAAATGATTCAGAAACTTGTCACGAGGAGCTAAAACAGTATCAGATAGTTGTACTGCGTGCTAGTGATTTGTGGTTATTATTTAAGCAAATCCCCCCAACAACCCTCCAAGGAAACTGCGAGGCAGGCGGAGCAAGGCCCGCGCCTCAGGCAGCTCTGAACCTGGCAGCGCTGTAGACCTTCCCCGTGGTGTTGTTACTGTTTCCTCCGCTGACACGCGTGCTCCTCGAGACCCGGCGCTCAGTCTGCTCGTCCTCGCGGGGCCCAGCACAGGAGGCCAGCCCTGGGCCTCTGCAGAATAACTTCCTTCAGCGCTTAATGATCACGACTCCATGAGAGGAAACCGATCTCAGGATTAACTGGCTCTAATCCCTCCTCACCCAGGTGCTCTGCCACCTCCACGACTTTCCAAACCCTAGGACGCATCCCCTGACTGCTGGTGCAGGGGAACCATTCTAGCTGTAAGTCCCCTCCATTTTCTCATGGAGTCAGTGAAGGAACTGGAGTCTAAAATGACAAGATCTGACTCTTTAGAAGATTCGAGATCTTTAAACAGATACTTGCCTGCCGCCTCGCCTGACTTTTACAACCGGAGGAGACAGGAGGAAGCCAAAGCCACGTCCACTGGGGCTGCTAGACGCCCCTGGAGGAGCCACCAGGCTCGGGGTGGGGAGCGGGGGTGGACACGGGTGAGCGGCCCTTCACGCTCACCTGCCGGTGTAAATAGCACCTAATGCCCATGCAGATGGTCGTTTCCACAGAGTTATTTTGTGAATTACTTTATAGCAGTTGCCTCCTCGGTCATTACATGCCCTGTCACTATCTGCCGCTCACCACGGGTTTTAAGAGCGTGGTCGCTATAGTTTGCTCCTACGAACCCTCCTCCACGTGTTTGAATGGCATTAGCGGCCTCTGGCCAGAGCCGCCCACGGCAGGTTGGTAAATGTTGGAAGAGCAATCTCTCCATTTGAAGTGCTTCTGGCTGGAGTCACTGTTTGCTCAGTGGTGGTGCAGCCCAAGAATGACTGGGTCACGAGGCCGCAGCGGCTTACAGGGCTGGGCAAGCAGGAAAGATCACTAGGAACAGCCACAGGCACAGCTGCTCAGCCCACCCTTGAGTTTGCATTTTACGGAGGAATTGCCAGTGTGTTTTCCTATTGCACAAGGTGGTAAAACACACCCGAGGAGAAAACTGAAAAGAGGTTATCTCAGGCTGACAGTTATTTAAAATCAACAACAAAACAACACAAGAGGATCCTGAGTCTCACCGACCAGGAGGCCCAGCGGGTCATCCAACCTTTGCTAAAATCCCAGGGCGGTGCCTCCCTCCCCGGGAAGCCCTTTGTGTCTGGGCCGTTCTATCCAGGTGAGTTTGCCAGTTGACTCCACACAGCTCTCTCATTGTATCCAGCTTGTTTCTTCCACAGTCAGGTGGGTTTACAGTTGATAACCCCCATCTTATTTTTAAAGGTCAAGATACCAGTTTCTGATGGAGTTAAATTGCTCTTAAATCACTATTTTTAGTTTATTTCATACGTACCAATGTCCCTGATAAACCTGTCTCCAGGTGGAGGGACCCACACCCTGGGAAGATCTTTACCTCCACCTCCTCCTGCCTTTCTGCAGTGACCTCCTTTCCTACAGTGCCTGCTGTCAACTCTGCATGAACCCTCACGGTTGACCAGTCCTCCCTTCTTGAAATCTAGGCATCCTCTGGACACCTCTGCCTGGACTTCCTGCTGTTGCTTGAAGCTCAACAAGTCCAAAGTGAACTCCTATCAACTCTGCTCCCATCTCCCAAAGCCAGAGTCCTGAGAATGACATCTCTCTGTGGATTTGGGACCTGTCCCCACCTGAGACCTGCTGCTCACAGCCAAGTGGCCTCGCTTTTTCCTTCTTGGACTTCTTTAAAATATTATCTGCCTCCCTGCTTTCCAAGCACCACTCCCGACTGGATCAGCTCTTCATCTTCTTAATGCAGCTGCTGTCAGTCTCCCTGCCGCCCAGCAACCTCAAGGAGTCCACCACCAAATGAGAGACACTCCCAGTCCGGCTGGCATCCAGACCCCCGCCCCGTGGTCCTCCTGATGGCCCTTAGACTGACCCCGGATGCTCCCCACACCAGTGTCCTCACCTGGTCACCAGGAGTCCTTTCCTGTCCAAAGGGGTTCTCTCATGCCCTTTCATTCTCCTGGGGTGCCGTCTCAGTGCCGTCTTTCCCAGTTCCATCCACTCCTTCAGGCCCTTAACTCAGCTCACAAGCCAAGTGTCCAGTTCCTAAGGGGAGACTGTTTCCCTCCAGATCTTCACAGCGCGTTGGGCTTTCTCTCCTCATACTTGCCTTGTTTTCTTCTTGGTACCAGTTAGTGCTTTATACCTCTGACTACACACAGGCGCATGCACACACCCCACAGCCCATGCTGGAGGTGGCCCGTAGTTAGGAAGAAGCTGCAGCTTTGGCCCGGCCGGCATGGCTCAGCGGTTGAGCATCAACCTAGGATCCAGGAGATCATGGTTCAATTCCCAGTCAGGGCACATGCCCGGGTTGCAGGCTCAATCCCCAGTTGGAGATATGCAGGAGGCAACTGATCAATGACTCTCTCATCATTGATGTTTCTCTCTCTCTCCCTCTCCCTTCCTCTCTCCAAAATCAATAAAGATATATTAGAAAACAAAAAACAAAAAACCAGCAGCTGCAGCTTTGGATTCCAACTCTAACTGCTGAGCACATGGCCTTGGCACATTCCTATCCATTCTGGACTTATTTCTCGAAGAGTGAGTGGTGCTCAACTTTTTTGAATTCGATTGAATGCTCTATGGTAACTGCCAGGGGCTCGAGAAGCGCTGGCCCTTGTTATAAACTATTCGCACACCATCTGCCATCTCCAGACCCTGGGACTGCCAGCCCGTGCCTCACAGCGTAGGGCTCAGAATGGTGGCTCAGCTGAGGGCCCTTGACTTCAGGTGGATCTTTTCACTTAAAACTGACCTCAAAGTTTAGCAGCATCTTGACAGGCATGGTGTTGACATACAGAGCCCTGCAAAACATTTCCCAATCACACTGATCAGACTTTTCCGCTGGACCAAGATGACCCTATTCTTACCCAGGTATCATAAAGCTGACCTAGCTGGCACCATGTCTGAGGGCAGACGGGCTGTGTGACAAGAAGACATCCCTGAAGCGAAGGCCCAGCAGGTGCAGTGAGGACACCGGTCTCACACCTGTTTCTAAGTCGGAGCCGATGTCAGGCAGCATCACCCAGTGACTCAAACTGCGGTCTCTCCTGAGCCTCCCCCTCGGAAGTGAGGACAGCGAGGCGAGGGGAAAGTCTGGTTCTCCCAGCCAGACCCATGGGTCCGGAGCAGTCGGTTCCCCACGCCGCAGACTTCCCGGCTTAACCGCTCAGGGCACGTCGGCTGTGGTCAAGGCGGGTGGGCAGGGTGCACTTCCCTCCTTGGAACCTACCGAAACAATCTCGGGGTCCCCTTCGCTCCCGGTGACCCTGAGAACCACTCTCCAAAGTGCCCACAAATTAATGCCTTTGTGGGGATTAGCTAGCAGGGAACGGGAGGCAAGACAGGGATGAAATGGGGGGAAGGTTTGGGGCTCAGCAAGGACAGGCCACGAAGGACAGGGCGGTGCCCTCTAACGTCCATACCGTGGCTTCAAGCGTGAGCCATTCAGCTGGCACATAGACCGAGACTCTAATGAAGGGCAGCGGGAAGTACAGTGGCTTTTTGATAAAGTAAAAATCATTCACTGACAAGCACAGTGCTTCTCCCTCATTCAGGTACTTCTCCCAGTTACTTTCCTCACACGTATCACCACCACACCTCCATTACCCCAGCAGTTTCCAAGGAAGGGGAACATGGGCCTACGACGCGGCCTACACCCCGCCCCCGCCTCACCTTGCAACCAGCGCCCTAAGAGAGGTGAGCAGGCCTTTATGAATGGGTCGGTATGTGACGGGGACATTGGGACCTACTGGTGGAAAGGTGTTCTCAAAAATGATAAAAGAAATATTTTTCTGTTTGTGATTAATGAACCCCTTTTTAAAGCTAAAGCTGGAAGATGACTGAAATCAAGACCACAGTACACACAGGGTATCCATGGCTCTGCTGAAGGGAATGAGTTAACCCACAATCCAGAGCATTTCAAGTTATGAGAAAACTACCCTGGTGTTAATACTGTATATTAAACTCAAATATTGGCTAATGAGGTTATTTGCAGGAAGAAGAAAATGTTTTCAGAGGCGATTCCTAAGTGTAGTTTGCCACCTAGTGGCCATTTGTGGAAATAAAAGGCCGGTACAATAGTTTTCAAACCAGGCAAAGGGAGGACTCACAACCACATTTCAATGTTAGGGCATCCAATTACCCCACGAAGCCCTCTGAGGTCTGTGCAGGTGGGCTAAGGGCTGGGGCGGGGGGAGGGGGGCATTTCTAAGAAATCAGAGCTTCTGGGAAGCAGTGCAGTGTAGCAAATGGCTCTCAATCATGGCCACCGACAGAATCACCTGGGACACCTTATGAAAGGACAGATGGACAGGCCACACCACAGATGAACTAAATCAGATTCCCTCAGGTGGGACCCAAGCAATGCATGTTTGAAAGTCCCAAATGGCTCTGCCGGCAGCCAGGTGAGGGCTGCTGGGTAGCAGGTAAGACTATGGATCCCCCCTCTCTCTACGTGAGTGTCACTGCTTGTTGCCTTGAGCAGGGAAAGCGGGCTAATTAAATAATGTCTATGTGCCTCATAAATGAGGACAATAACCTCTCCTGGGCTCCTGTGTGGATTAACCAGGATCATGGGTGTCAGGTGCTGACATTGTGTTCGACAAATGTTAAATATTAATGCTATTACTTATCAAAGAAAATGTATTAATTAAAAGAGATAAACAAAAAGGTAGTTTAAACTATAAACCTTAATGGAAATTTCAATTATGTTTTATTTAAAATGTTACTCACGATTGTCTTAATTAAAATATATTTAATTGCAAGAATACAGTATGAGATGTTTTACTGCACATGACCAACAGCACAAATGCATAATAACACTCAAGTCTTAGTATCTCACACATTTAAGGTATGAGACACGCACAAGGTAGCCCCTGCCTTGAAAACTTTTGTTCCCTCAAATATGAGGCTCACATAAGCCCATGACTAAACTTAATAGGCCTAGGACAAGGCTAAGCAATAAATAAATCTTTACAAGTATCTATGAACTGGAACAGTTTTATTTTTGAGTTTGATAAGCCCAAGACTATTAAGGAATATTTAAAAATCGAATAGGAACCTGTGGCAATGAAGTAAACGAGGAGTCTGAGAAAAAACAAACAGCTCAGTATCATCAGCTCCATGTATCTGCCACGGTCTAGCCTCCGGTGCTCAGCTAGATCAGTCTGAACACAGGGGCGGTGCAGAAATCCATCACAGTATGAGTACTGAAATGGGGTGTCTGGGAAATACACTCACTGCAGAAATGTCACACTAAGGAGCGCCGCCTGGCGGTGGCAATGAAAATGGTAAGGAATGAAATGTTAAAAGGACTGGTAACGTGAAATACAAAAAGGATGTCTACGTAATTTTTACTTCAAAACCTGAAGTAAAAATAGAGAATGGTGGCCTCTTTACTTACGTATTTATTACACCTAGGATTTGCTGCCTTCAAAATATGTTGTTCCAACACTTATTTTTGCGTTGCTGACCATCTGACAGGTGCTATGCTAGGTGCTACCTGTACACGGATGCACAAAGCAAGGTTCTCTGCAAAGAGAGAAACCTGGGCCTAGGAAGTACTCATCATACTTCTTACAAATTCAGTGACATACGGCTTTTCAATCTAAAGAGAAATTGTTTTCCAAAAAGTTGACTTTGTAATTAAGAATGCCTATCTACATAGCCAGTCAAAATTTCAGAGGCTCATATAGACTCAGAAACTCCGAACCGTTCATTGACTATGTCGGCGGATGTGATACCCATCTCATCAGCTGCCGTAAAGTACGTTCCTACACACACTTTTAAAACAATAAACATTTCACCTATTCGTGCATACCTAGTCCTAGTAAAATATGGAACAAGGAGCAATTTTTTCATCTGGACACCAAAGACAATTTAAAGCAATCAGATTATAGGACTGAAACAATGTCCTAAATTTTCTGATCCCATCAGAGCATCAGCAAATCTGGGCGAGGCAGCAAGCGTGGCCGAGTGTGAGGCTGTGAGGATCAATCTTCGTCGTCTCTTTGAAAAGGCACCACCTGGATCTCTCGGGCTATTCTCTCGGCCAAGGTTTTGCTGCCCGCAGCTATTATTCTCCGCGACATCAAGTCAAACGGTCCACCTGAGATCAGACAAGGAAGAGGGTTACATCGGGCACTGCAGCTCTTCCTGCAGAACCAGTACAGCAATGGGCGCTACGGTCAATCACAGCATTTTAACTTGCAGTTATCTTTTCAAAATGCTCCTCTGTCACATACCCATAATGTGTAAGCTTTGGCAATACACAAATGAGTTTCTAGGCATCTTTTTTTTTTTTTTAATTGATCTTTAGAGAGAGAGGAAGGGAGAAGGAGAGAGAGAAAAACATCGATTGGCTGCCTCCCGCACGCCCCCACCAGGGCCGTACCTGACCAGGAACAGAACTAACAACCCTTCGGTGCACAAGATGGCACCCAACCAACTGAGCCACACCAGCCAGGGCAGGCCACTTTTTTAAATAACAGTTGGGGGGAAGGAGGTCTCTCAATAATACAAGGCTGAAATGTCACCTTTTTCTGTCCCACCCTGTGTGCACTTTTATTATTCCTATTATCTCTATAATGTCTGAGTGTCTATGGACAGGAAATATGACCAAAGTGCATTTTCACACCATGTTCCTCCCATTTCCTGATTTCTCTGTTGCCCATTTCCCAGACCACTGGTAAATTTTTAAGCCAGGTTCGCCCTGACTTTTAGAAATGTCACCATTGCCTGGCCGGGCATGGCTCAGTGGTTGAGCGTTGACCTAGGATCCAAGAGATCGCAGTTCAATTCCTGGTCAGGGCACATGCCCGGGCTGCGGCCTCGATCCCCAATACGGGGCATGCAGGAGGCAGCCGATCAATGACGACTCTCATTGTTGATGTTTCTCTCTCCCTCTCCCCCTCTCCCTTCCTCTCTCTGAAATCAATAAAGATATATTGTTTTAAAAAGCAAAAAAAAAGAAATGTCACCATCTGTTTGAAACATTTAATCTCTCCAGGCCCGAGGCAGCAAGTGACAGAGGCAGAGGTCCTTCATCAGCTACTACACGCTCACCATTCAAAGAGCTCTAAGGTCCACAGACCCTCTAGACTTTTCTATAGCCTCTCCAGAGCTCCTGCTGCTCACAGTTGAAAAGGCTTAGCCATTTATCATGAGGAATTCCACACTACCCTTAGCATCTTATCCTTGCCTGTACCCCGCAATGTTTATTTTGAATTTGCAGAAAATTACAAGGCTTGTTTTGCCTTTAAGAGCTGAAGTATGATACACATCAAACAATGGAAGACAAGAACCACACATGGAGGAGAGAGTCCAAGAGGCGAGAGAGGAAAATGGTTTACAGCCGCATTGTTCTACCTGTTACATCCATCAGCACCCCTCCGGCCTCGGTGACAATGATGCCAGCTCCTGCCATGTCCCAGCAATGAATGCCCATTTCATAATATGCGTCTGCAGCCCCGCTGGCAACGAGGCACATGTTGACAGCTGCTGTTCCGACTCCTCGGATCCTAACCAATAGCATTTAAAAACGAGATTGGAAAAAAGAATTCTTTCAAATAAGGTCCTCCTCCTTAACTTCAGTTCATTCTAAATGTTGACTGAGATCATCTGAACCATCTAGAGGACACATGTGAAAAAAGGTCATATCTAATTTTAAAATAAAAGTACATAAAATCAAATTACCATGGTATATTATATAAATGAGAAATCTAATCCTCACAAAGTAATTAATAACATTAAAACCACGATATGATATTTTCAGAGGAAAAAGCTGAAATACTAAATTCCATTATCATGGTTTATGTGTGTAATTACATTTGTGAAAACCCAGTAAAAAGGACTGCCCACCTTTAGTATCACACAGATTTGACTTTGCTCCCTGCTCAGCTGCTAATAAGTGTCTTGGGATTTTTTTGACTGATAAAGTCTCAGAAATACAAAAACTAAACATAGAAACACAGGAGGCAAAAACCCAGGAAGAAGTAAAACAAGGTGATTGAACTCAGAAAAGTGGGGCAGACAAGACACAGGGGTGTCCAGAATGAAGATGCGTTTCAGGGCAGCCTGACGGGAACAGCGAGCGAAACTGAATGAAGGGCCCTGAGGGAAAGCAGAAGAAAACAAGTCAGAAGGCTCAGAGAGAAAGTGGCTGCAATGGAGGACGCTGAGGAGGTGAACTCGCCCGCTGGGACCTCTGAAGAAGGAAATGAAAACAGACCTCAACTAATATTTAAAACTATAACTCAAGAAAACTTGAAAAAAGAAAGACACAAATCCACGTGCTGAAGGAGAAAGCTCTCCCAGGACGCCCAATGCCAAAACAGATCCTTGTAAAACCACCAGACGTCAAAGATGAAAGGAAAAAAATTCTCAGAGGCTCCATGTAAATCGTGAAATAACTGAAAAGCCAAGAAAATTAGACTGGCATCAGATTTCTCAAAAACAGCCTACAAAGCAGAGGTGGCTACAGAGATAGGACGGCTCAAGGTAAGACCCGGCTGGAGCCTGGGTCTGCGCCAGAGGACGGGGAGCGCTATGAAGGACGCTTCCAGGTCAACTGGCCACAGGGAACTGGGACGCACATCAGAGAACAAGTGACATTATAAAGCCAGTAATCCACTGTGGCCGTGGAAGAGCGATCCCTGCTCAGGAAGTACCGAAATGAAGTATTTAGGGGTAAAAGGCTATGGTGTGAGTCATTTGCCTTAAGATTAAGATAGTTTAGGGGGGAAAAGGCGTGCATGTATGTAAACACACACACACACACACACACAGAGGGAATAAAAAAGGGTAAAACAAAAGGGGTAAAATATTAATAGGTGAATCTGGGCAAAAGATATACTGGGGGGTTTTTTGCATTATTTTATTTCTGTAAATTCTGTTACGTTTGAAATTATTTTCAAATAAAAGTTTTTTAGATTACATTAGAAAATGAGAATTATGGTACTGATCCCATGTCAATTAATAACAAATTTCAGTTCTAAAAGAAAGCTGGTCCTCAGTGTGTTAAGCCACCTGGAACTCGGGGGACGGAAGCTTACCCGTGGATGGGAATGCAGAGGAGCTTCTCCATGTTGGAGAGGACAGTCCTCACGGTCTCCGGCGTTCTGGACGAGCCCAGCTCCGTCACCAAGAGTGACTTGGTGATGTCTAAAAGAAAATGACTTCAATAGCCACTAATTTAATGATAAGAATTATGGTAAAAACATTTGACACTTGCAATTCAGAATAAAACAGGACATTCTCCTTAGCCCTCTTTCTGGTTGTATCAAATTTGTTTACTTCTAAGTCTTTAAGTATTAAAATACTGATAAACTTATTATCTCTCCGTGGTCATTTTATAGGAGTCTAGCTTTTTAGGTCATCCCTCAAAAATGCAGAATATAACGAAGTTGCCTGCATGCATACTAGCTTTAGTGGGAAATTAGCAAATACCTGAAATATTTAATCACACAATTTAATTAGACATTATGAAGAGCAATAGAATAATTAAAGAGGGAAAGAGTTGTTGGTAGGAAAGTGACCACACTCCTTCGATTCTGAGATACACATTTTTTCATACGTTAACATCTTGACAATCGGGATGCATACTCCTTTGGGGTCTTAGGGTTCAATAAAAAGGAAATGAAAGTCTGCTCTCAAATTAAGTGTCTGAGGAGAAAAATTATGGCAGCGTGGGAGGATTCTGAATTTAGATGGCATTGCAAGTATCGTTACGTTCTTGCTGTGCTTAAAAAAATTTGACGAGCAAACTGGACAATGCTGGGGGTGGATTATAGGAGAAAAGTGCCTCAAACCTTGATCAGCTGTCACGCAGAAAGACTGAAATGTCCATCGTCAAGCTCACACAAAAATGTACATGTGTCATTTTTAATGATCTCAAATCTAACACACTTTTCCCTAATTTACTGTCCAATAGGTGGTCCCAGTGGTTTCAGATCAGAGCAATTCTACAAAGAACTCGGGAGGCAGTGGCTGCAATAATCCACCATGAACTCTGTCCTAAGCCCCTGCAGCGGATGCCCCAGAGTGTGGTTTGCTCAACTCCACCAGCTTCTCCGAGTCCACTACCACATTCAAACCCCAGTTGGGGGGAGAGCAGAGAAAATAAACACAATTTATGAACCAGTTAACACTTGGAGAACCCCACAGGTTAACATTCAAAAACAACAAAATATGAGTAGCTACTATGAACCGCACCCACAGCGGAGGGTGACCTACCTTCTTGCCGTGAGACCTGCAGCTTCTGACCGTTACAGAAGGCACCCTTTCCCCTCCTGCCCGTGTACATCTTGTCCTCCACACAGCTGTAGACAACTCCAAACTCCATCTGCAGACGGAAACCAGGTTCCTTACCAAACTTGGGTGTTTTTAATACTTACTCTAAGTAAGTAACAAGAAAATCTGGTATACTGACGAATGTTTTCAAATGGCTACACGGTGGGATACTGAAAAGGGTGATTTCTAGATCAATCAGAGGAAAGAGGTCATCAGACTTGACTCCCTGACTCTCATCCCAGCCATTTATAAACCCAGGAGCACGCACCTTGGTCGGCCTCCCTCCCTCTCGCCCAGGTGAGGACAGAGCTGTCCTACGCTCTAGGGTGAATCCTTCCTCCTATGTACAATTCCTCCCCTCGTACTTCTGGGGAAAGCTGCTCCCTGCAGATCCGTCTCTGGAATTTAGATTCTGGTACCTTCTCACAAAGCTCTCCCCACTACAAAACCTTCAAAATGTTACTTCCTCCTTTCCCTTCACTGCCAAAGATCAGTCTACACTTTGCCTCTCCCCTTCTTTAACCCACTGCATTTGGCTTCTGCCCTGGTCATGCATCTTCTGAAACTCCCTGCAGAGACCACCAGTGACCCTGTATGGCCAAATTCCTTCTCTGAAGGACTGGAGACTGCCAACCGTTATCAACGCTTCTTCAGTATTTAATCCAGCAGCTCCGTGTTTCTGGCAGGACTCAGTCCCCCACCTCACTCCCTAACCTATCTTGGTGTCACTTCTTTTAGGACCGTCTTCTCTGCTTAACCTCTGAAAGCTGTGTGCCTCAGGGTTTTCCATTCTCCCACTTCCCTTTTAGCCCTCTGTAGTCCTACAGGTTGGTTCCTTCCAGCCCACTAATCAGCTACCACCTGGAACTGTGGCTCCCACCAGCACCATCATCACAGGTAAGAGCCTCATCTTGGAGAAACCTCAACTGAAGAGGTCCACACTCATCACCTGATTGCACCTCGCTCCTTCCCCTTTCCCCTCTCCAACTTTATCTTGAAAATACTTCCTGATTTTGGGGTTTCGTCAGCTATTCTCACTGTACCATCTCAGTTCAGAATCGCCAGCCCCTCCCATCTAATCTCCATGTGGCTGTAATCACCTGTCACTCTGCACTTAGAAAGCTCTACAGGTTTCCACCACCTAAAACCAAAACCTCAATGTTGTGGCACAGGCCACAATCTCAAAGTATGACCACAACCAACTTTTCATCAACCTGCTCCTGCCATGTCCAGGGCTTCACCATGCGACCATCTCGCTGTGCCCCAGACATGCCATGCTCTTCTTCAAGCTGCTGTCTGATTGAAATGCGTTCCTTTTCTTCATTTGGCAAACCCTTCATTCTCTACGACCCAAACCACATAACCAAATTACAAGACCCTTCCCTTATGAAGATCTCCTCAAACCACTTGTGGAGAATCGGTTCCACCCTCCTCAAGCTCTCACGGTAGGTTTTCCACCGTCTACTACATGTGATCCTATCTGTTCACAGATCTAACTTTGGCACTGACTGTGGCCCAAAGACAGAGACCACACACAGTGCAGGGCTAAGTACACATTCTCACTGCTCAGCACAACCCCGTGGCTAATTTCATTTGCACTGACTGTGTTTTCATTTTCAGAGGCCTCCTAACTCTCTAGTGTACGTGCTGATCAAATACAGCACAAGCTCCTGAAGAAAGTTACAGAGATGATGAACAGCATTTATTGTTTGATCAAATAGCCAAACAGCAAGGCAATGCCACAGCTACAGACTGCTCTCCTGGATTTACATGCAGCAGGGGGTCAGGTTCCGGAACATACCGGGTTCCAGAACACCCCTACCCTGGCCCCACCACTTCCTGGCCTTTCACTGACACCCACTGAAGCACCCCCCGCTCAAATCTCACCTCTCCCATTAACCACTGCAGGTCATGTGTCAACTCTTCATGCACCCGACTCTCACATCCGTAGTGATGAGTAAATACTGAATTGTAGTTCAGTTACTTGTATGTATTTCTTCCTCACAACCCTCGCTCCTCAAAAAACATTAAATTTCCTTCACTGGAAAAAGTATTATAATTTTAATACTCTTGTAGCTTATTTCAAAATCAGTGCAGCTGGATAAACGGAGTATAGGGACAAAGCTGAACTATGGAGACAGTTACTTTCTCAGAGAATGACCATGAATGTAAACAGCATACCTTTTTATCGACAACAAAGCCAATGGAAACAGCCACAAAAGGAAATCTTTAAAAAAAACACACACACAAATTTACCAAGATAGGACTTATTTTCAATAAACATGATTTTTCATAACATAATTGCTTACAAAATTTTTCACATGGTCTCCTCCTTCCCCCCCTGAGCAGTGTATATAACAAACACCCAACCTGGAGCTTCCCATCGGAAAGGTAACCTGTTAGCCACATGGCTGCTATGGCTGCATGAGAGCCTGAAGACATGGGCTGTAATTTCTGACTCAGAAGAGGGTCAAGATAAAGAAAACAGACAAGCCCTGGCCAGTGTGGCTCAGTTGGTTGGACATCGTGCCCAGCACCAAAAGGTCGCTGGTTCGATTCCCGGTCAGGGCACATGCCTGGGTTTAGATTTCAATCCCTGGTAAGGGGCATGCAGGACGCAGCTGATTGATGTTTCTCTCTCTCCCTCTCCCTTCCCCTCTCTTTAAAAATCAATTTTTAAAAAAACCTTAAAATAAAGAAAATAGACAAAACAGGTTCAATATAACTATTAAAAATAAAAACTTTTAGAAATATTTAAGTTTTTATCTTAACAAAAATCAGGCTATTCTTTACACACTGCATTATAATCTTTCTGGGTTACAATACCCCATGAGCGTCCTTCCACATTCCCACCTATCACAAAGAGTCTAGATCTTGGCTTCACAGACTAAACGATTCTATATCACTAAAGGTATGTGCAGCCACAGGGCAACTTCAACTACAACATCTCTGTGTGATCCCACCCAATCAGGCTGCTCATGTTAACTCTCACTGGCAATTCCAACAGGCTCTTCTATACACTTCCTGCATCCTTGTATAGATGCACTACTCATTGAGTCCCCACAGTCCTGAGGCAGGCACCACTAATATGCTCATTTTATAGACAAGAAGAAAACAACAACTGAGGCTTAGAAAGGTTAAGTAACTTGCCCCAGGTTGCAAAGCCTATAAAAGCACCCAGGTTCAAGCCCAAGTGTCTTGATCCTAAAACCCATGCTCTTTTCAAGCTTCTTCTCCTGGACTGAACGCCCTCGGTATAGACAGCCCTCCAGTACCCATCCCATGAGCTCCGTAACTGATCTCAAAGCAGCAACGGTGCTTGCTTATATTTTGTCCTGGCTCCCACAGTGGGAAAAGAATAGTGAAAAGGGTACTACACAAGTCCTACCAGCAATATTTCATCACCAGTTCCTTATCTGATAAAAATTCTCATAACACATTTTATTCCACAAATCATGCAATTCTCTAAAGTAGCAAATTTCAACTAGTCTGCTGCAAGAGGCACACTGGTGTGCTACGAGCATTTTTAATACATGCAATGCCTGACTATTAAGTCAGGGGCACTTACCTCTTTACCCTTAGATTGTCAAATAAAAAAATGACAACAGCAATCACAATGGCCATCTGATGTGAATGAATCAAAATTATGCCTATATTTTTCTCTGTCTTATCGCAAAAAATATATTTTTGGAGTGCCTCAGAACTTTAGTAATTAGTTTACGTGTGCCATGAGATGAAGGAGGTTGAAAATTGCTGCTCTGTGTGCTGTGAATGGAGCCCTCTAAAGGTCCCTTCAGTTCACATACGCACAGTAATTACAACAGTAAACATTTAAAAACGCACCTGTGTACAAAGTTAGTTGTTCCATCAATAGGGTCAATGATCCACGTCGGGTTGTCGGTTAAGACACTTTTCTCCCCAGCGGCCACGGATTCCTCACCAATGAAACTAAAAGCAAGAATGACTTTACACCACTTTCAACAAGTTTCCTTAGCCACAGAGTCTACTAGAAAACATAAAAGTTTACACAGCACTTTTCTATCGTCGCTCCTTCTTCCTTCAGAATGATGAGGGTGGGCAAACTTCACTTCCCCAACCACGTGAAATGCAGCAGGACTGAAAAGCCTGCGACACGTGCCAGGCTGAGCGAAGGCTCGAGCGCCCCACACCTGAATGGGTGCTGGTGGCAGGTGGGAACTTATTGGGGAGTGTGATGGTTTTAAAAAGATGCCCCCAGTTCTCTCACCCTCCTCTCTTCCAGAGGCAGGCTGAACGCTTCATGCCTTGAGTGTGAACTTGAAAGTAGTGACTCATTTCTAAGCAATAGGACAAAGCGGAGGGCCAGTGTGCAAACCTGAGGACTTGTTCCCAACATGGCACTGTGGTTCATCTTATCATCCACTTTGCTCCCCTCTTCCCTGCCATGCCCTGGGGAAAGCAGGCGCCCCTGTTCTGAGCTGCTCTGAGGAGAGGCCCACATGGGAGGAACTGAGGGGAGCTGCCAACAGACCTCCCAGGAGGAAGAGAAGTCACCAGAAATCACCTAGGTGAACGGATTCTTCGCCCCATTAGAGGCCTCAGATGGCTACAGCCCCGACCCACAATTTGCTATAATGTCATGTGACACTGGGGCTAAGCTACTGCCATATTCCTGGCCATAGAAAACTGAGACAATAGATGCTTGTTGTCTAGAGATGCTAAGGTTTACGGTAATTTGCTATGCAGCAACAGATAAGCAAAATAGAGAACATTAAATAAGTCAGCAGGAAGGCAAATCACCCACCAAAATTACTGTGTCTACCTGTCTTCCTAAAACACGCTGTGCAATAAATCTTGGGTTAATTCCGGAAATGGTGTCTAAGTTCATTGCTTTCTTTCCTTTCCTACTTTCATTTTTATATTTTCCCTTTATGAACTGTCCTAACAATCATTTTTGTAATCTTTTATCTCTTAGCTGCACACCTTTTCATTGAGAGGAAGTGTAATGATTTAGCCAAGGCTTTACAATGACCAGGAAGAAGCAGAGAATAATGGTGCTGCAGCTTTAAAATGACGACAGTGTTTCTGCTCTAGCTGTGCCTGTGACAGAGCCCTGACCTTAGTGGTTTCTTTCAAATTCCCTAAAGCTACTGCCTAGAAAAGTCTGCAATATAGTGATTAAAACTGAGCTTCTAAATCATTCCTGTGGCAGACCTCTGCCACAGTCTCCCAGCATCCAAACACTCCTCATACTATGAGGGAAGCTCAATATCCCGTCCTGGCTGCGCCCCGAGTTCAGCAGGCAGGCGTCCCTGCCAGGATCTGTAATCACAAGCTAACGAGGCACAGGAGTAAAGAGCAAGGCAACCAGAGGCTTCGGCAGCCGTGGCTCCTGTGAGATGTTCAGGTCCCCGTCTCAAAGGGCTGCTGAGCCTCCCACACATTCCTTTCCAGGTTAAGTTAACTCACGTCCACTTCTGTGTCTAGAATCAACATTGCCTCGTATATTGACTCCAACTAGGTTCTGTTTTTATCATTTGGAATTGAAGTAAGAAATACCTGTGTGATGGGTACTTTTCCTTTATGAAAGAAAGAAGCATCTTTTCAACTTTCTGGTCTGTCGCAGTTACCAAGTCGGCTGGAGAACTTTTAATCATAACGTTCATTTCATTGTTCAGAGCTTCACGAACTACCTAAAGAGATTGTTTGGTAGCAAATAGAAAAGCGTAAGTAATTTTAAACCAAACTGAAAAATGAAATAGAGAAAGGGTGTAAGACATTCAGTCTGTCTTAAATGATATTCTTAAAAATTTCTTACCAAACAGTGTTTATAAAACAGCCTTTAGTGGTTATGTCATTCTAGGTACAAAATCATAGAACCTTACATCTATTTTAGGTTTACAACTGCCATTAAAAAAAGTTAATGACATAAAATTGGAGTACTCACTCCATTTACAGTGTTTAGTGAAATGAAAAGCAACACAGGTGTGTTTAATTTAACATGATGGCCACAGGCTGCCCACTCCGAAGCATTGGTGACGCTCGGCAGTTCGTACCTCTCCAGCTCGCCTTGCTAGGGTGACCGCATAGTCCATGCACTCCTGCCAGGGATCAGCCATCTTCAAAACAGATTTAACACACGTCAGGATACACGAGTGACAAAGTCTTAATCACAGAATAGTTAACAAAAGCATCTCAATTAGCAACATACTTTCATTCAGGATTCTCTTCCCTTTCCTGATTCTAGTCAATTTTTTTTCCCCCCAAGATTCACTGGTAGACCCAGTAAAAAAAAAAATTTTACCTAAATTACTCCACTTCTTTGTGGAAACATTTTTCATAACAAAAAATACTCTATGAAAGTGTCTGCCAAAGTGACCACAATCATGTCACATTTAAAACAACACTGGTTTGGGGAATGGAGGACACAGAAATATTTTCAAAGGTAGGGGTTCAGAACAAGTCTCCCCTAACTGTGCCACTCTGCACCTGGATTATTTTGAGCTGAAGGCCACGGAGGCTCAGCAGACAGGAAGAGCTTTTACTGCCCCCTCACCTCCAGTGTTGTTTCTGTTTGCAGGAGGCAGGACAGTTAAGCTCAGAGACTGGGTTTCATCTTTGCTAGGACAGGTTCGCTGTGGGAACTTCACAAGCCACCAGCACACAGGATAATATCTCCTCACAAGCCAAATAAAGAAATGACACACTCCAAACAAATCACAGATTAATCTCACTAGTGATCCTGGCCAGGGAGGATGGAATGAAGTCCCAAATTAAGAGAGGTGTATCTTTTTATACCAGGAGGAGGCACTTGGCAGACCTGGAGAGAAAATTCCAGGACTAAAATACAGTAATAATAAAGCAAAGAAGAAATTTCTCTCCCTGAGTTTCAGAGAGGAAAAAACCCGACATAGTTGAGGGTTTGCTGTCTAGCTGTCCCCTAACTGCTGAGGAAACTAGAATAACTCTGGAGTCTGTACTCTGAACAGTGAAGCTTTTCAAGCCATCAGACTCAGAAATGCGGCATTATTTATAAAGCAACCCGAATTATGTCACCTTCACAACTGAAAATAACTGACAGAGCTTCACCTTGAAGACTCATCAGGAATCCCTATCACAGGTGCTTACAAGATAGCAAAGGGCGAGGGGCAGACATAGAGCTGCTTCTGCTAGCTGCTTTTTCTTCCTGAGAAAAGCATTTAAAAATTTACAAAGGAAGCCACTTTTTGAGTTACAGAAGTAACTGCTTAGGGCGCTTCAAGAGCTGCTTCCAAACCTTTTCTTCCATTCTTATTTACTCCCATTCATGTCTTTCAGGCTGAGCAGAGGAAGGCTTTGCTCCCCTCTCTCTACCTAACGGCACTGAATGCCCAGCATTCTTCCCGCCCCCC